TTTAAAAAAATATTGACTAAGAATTGTTAGGTTTTAAATTTTTTAGCATAAAATAATCCTTTCATTTGAAAATTATACTCTTAGCAGGAAGAAAACAACAAAGATGACACTGCTTTTCACCATCTGGGCAAGAGAAGAAAACAAGAGCCACCTCCTAAAAAAAACATTGCCCAGGAGAGGGAGAAAGCATTGTCTCTTCATAAAGCCAGTGACAATAACCAAACTAGAAAATCCCAAAATCTCTTTGTTAATAGACAAATATGGCATGAAGACCATAGCAGCAAAGAGAATATCCACAATGACCTAAAGATGTCCATTTATCCTGAGCCCAGTGGACATAATTGGGCTGAGAATGAAGATGATGCTATCAATGAATTACATGACCAAGAAGAATATGGTGTAGCTCTCATGAGACATAATAGGCAACACTTAATGGGGCCAGTGACTGTGAATGAACTCTTGAGGGGAAAAGGTAAACAGGAAAAACCTAGGAATGTTCTAAGCAAAATCCTCAGAGGTGCAAACTATGCTGAAGTCTCCCAAAAAGATAAGAAGAATCATCAAAGAGATGACCAAGCCCAGAATATTCCAGTCAAAAGCAAAAGCACCCATCACATCAAGCACAACAGTGACTACCTAAAACCACACCCAAAAGTCAACATAATCCCCAGTGATTTTGAAGGCAGTGGTAACACAGATCTCCAAGAGAGGGGAGACAATGGTATCTCCCCTTTCAGTGGGGATGGCCAGCCTTTTGGAGACATTCCTAGTAAAGGAAAAGCTACTGGTCCTAACCTAGAAAGTATAAATATTCAAACAGGGTTTTCAGACACAAGTGAATCAGAGACTACTAATCCTGACACAAGAGGGCCAGGTTTTAATGACATCCCAGAGAAAGAAGAGAATAGTGAAAATGCCATTGGAACCAGAGATGCAACAGAGAGAGATGAAAATGCTTCTGATGTGAGAATCATGGAGGGCAGTAATGACATCATAGGCAGCACCAATTTTAAGGAACTCCCTGGAAAACAAGGCAATAGGGTGGATTCTGAGAGTCAAAATGCTCATCAAGGGAAAGTAGAGTTTCATTACCCTATTGCACCTACCGAAAAGAAAAGAAAAGAACATTCTAATAGGAATCAAGCAACTGTAAGTGACAAACAGAGATATTCTGGTAATGGGAAAAGTCAGCAGATGTTTATTTCTTCTCCTGGTCTTGATAATGAAATAGGTTCCCACAATGGCCCCACTAGTGAGGAAAATATAGTAGCACACAACAACAACAGAAAAAATCATTATATAGGACACAGGCCAAATAATACTATCCGGAAGGAGGGTATGTCACAAAGGCAAGGCTCCTGGGATTACAGAAGACCCCATTCCAGTAGGAGTCCTGGCCCCCCTAGAAAGGGTGAAAGCAGTGAGTCATCTGAGAGTAACAGCTCCAGTGACAGTGATGGTGACTAGTGCAGTAAGAACGCCTGGCAGGAGAGCAGTTCGAATACCTGCTCATCTGTGAACTGACCGTATTTGAGAATGAACTGAAAGCAGATAATGTGAAGACAGGAGAAAGCAGTGAGTTGATAAATCAAGAAACTTGACCTCCTCGGGAGACTTTTTGCTGTTTGAATGGTCAACGTATATAATGGTCAAATCTATAACTAATATACTTTCTTTTTTTAAGCCAGAAAACTCACTAAGGCGATATGTAATAAACAGATTTAAATAGGTATAATTTTTAAGTAGTTTGCAAATGCCACAAATGCCTTACAATATTGTTTACGCTGTAGACATAAATTAAACAAGATCTCTTATATAATAATCTGTAATTAAATGATCTGTAGGAACATCTCTTGTCTGTGGTGTTTTATTCAAAGGCAGTATTTATAATATTAACCTGGCTAGATAAAGCTTGCATTATCCTATTCTGCTTACACCAGTTTTTTCCTTTTACTTCTGACTTCCCACTTAGCTTATAAAGACATCCTACTGAACATCCTTTTGTGTGTTTTCCTCTTTTGCACATTTAGACCTGCTTATTAGGTAAAATTTTAAGGAGCTCTGGTAGCATAGTGGTTATGAATTGGGCTGCTAACCTCAGGGTCAGCAGTTTGAAACTACCAGCTGTTCCGTGGGAGAAAGATGAGGCTTTTTGCTCCCATAAAGATGTACAGCCTCAGAAACCCTGTACAGGGTTGCTATGAGTTGGAACTGACTCCACGACACACAACATTAGGAAAATTTTATTTCCTGAAGTAAATCCCCATCCTATTATTTTTCTCAATTCTACCTCCTTCTAAAGAGGATAATAGGGTAGAGGGAGGGCAACAGGAAATATTTGAGAAGCAGAAACCCAAAGAAAAAGCCAAGACAAAAATTTATTTTGGCAGATATTATTCTGTGTCTGAACCCAAATAGTTTCAAACTTATTTCTCTCTCTTGCACTTTAGTATATATAGCGCTTTTCTAGTTATCAATAGTCTTGTTCTAGAAACTCATTCAAAGTGTCCTTGTAAGGAAGTAGGTTAGCATTCAGGAAGCCTTTTTACCTTTTCTGATAAGAGAAAATTACACATCTGGTACACCTTCCTTCCTCTTTTCATACCCTCTTCTTTTTAGCGTAACAGGAATACCCAGAGCTGCAGCAGCCATTTTGTGATCATGAAGGAAAGGACACGATAATCACAGAGATTCTTGCCGGACATAGTTATCTAGTGCTGCTATAGCAGAACTACCACAAGTGGATGGCTTTGTTGTTGTTATGTGCAGTGGAATTGGTTCTGACTCATAGCAACGCTGTACAGGGCTTCCAAGGCTGTAAATCTTTACAGGAGCAGAAAACCTCATCTTTCTCTCACGGAACAGCTGGTAGTTTCAAACTGCTGACCTTGTGGTTCACAGCCCAATTCGTAACCACTATGCTACCAGAGCTTCTTGGATGGCTTTCGTGAACAGAAATTTATTTTCTTACAGTTTAGGAGAGTCTAAGTCTGAATTCAGGCTGCCAGCTCTAGGGGAAGACTTTCTCTCTCTGGAGGACCATGCTGGTTTCTTTTCAGCTTCTATTTCTTAGCGATGACTTTTTTATGTGTCATGGCATCCATCTTTCCCCAATCTCTGCTTCCTTTATCCGCATTTTTATATCTCAAGAGAGATTTATTATGGCATACACTGTACTAACTTATGGACTCCTGGTGTGGTACTGTAGGATCAGCACTGGACTACAAACCACAAGATCAGCAGTTCAAACCCACTAGCTGCTCCCCAGTTCAAACCAACCTTGTGGTCCAGTGCTTATCGTACAGCTCCACACCAGGACTGCACCAAAGTCAATAGGCATGACTTAATCCACAAAGACAATGTGCTGCATCCTACATTGGTGAGTAGTAACTGAGGTTTTAAAAGCTAGTGAGCAAGTCGCCATCTAAGATGCAAACTATTGGTCTCTCCCTTTCTGGGGAAAAAAGAGTGAGGAAAACGGAAGACAGATTGAAACAATAAATCCAATAGACTAATGGACCACATAAAAATCCATCCCATGAGCCTGAGACCAGAAAACTAGATGATGCCTGGGTACCACATCAACTCTTTTGGAAGGGATCACATTAGAAGGTTCTGGAAAGAGTGCAAGAAAAATATGGAGCAAAACTCAAAATCATAAAAACAGACCAGGCTTACTGGTTAAATAGAGACTGGTGGAGGCCCTAAGACTATGGTCCTTAGTCATCCTTGATGTCTGGAAATGAACTCACCCCCATGGCTCAATTTTCTGTTAAACAATAGACAGGTGTATAAGGGGAACAATAACACTAGTGAGGTACACACTGAAAACAAAACAAAACACACAGGGAGAAAGCAGGGTAACTGAGGTTGTAATGTGAGGGATTGCAGTCAATGAGATGAAACAAAATGTGTATCTTGACTGGAAAACAGATCTGCTCTGTTTTCATAATAAAAACATTTTTGTTTTGTTTTGTTTTTTAACCCAAGTTCCCATATGAGGTAGATGGGAAATGCTTTGCTACGAAAGTGTCATTATAAGAAAAGAAAGAAAAGGGTTTTCGCATTCACCCTAAATACTAATGATGGTGACTATTATGAACCGAGTAGTTACCATATGTCAGGTTCTGTGGTTGTGTGCTGTCCAATGGACCTGGTAGCATAGTGGGTTTCATGTTGAGTTGCTAGCCACAAGGCCATCAGTTCCACCAGCAGCTCCACAGGAGAAAGATGAGAGACTTTCTGCTTCTGTAAAACTTAACAGCCTTGGAAACCCTATACAGAGTCACTTGAGTCCGAACCAACTCAACAGCATACCACCACCACCACAGACTTTCAGAGACATGATTGGTGAGCTTGAACAGCTGACCTTTATACTGCCACTGCAGTACCCCAAGGTTCTGTTAAGTCCTTTAATAATGCATAGTTACCATATTATCTTTGTATCATTGTTATTTCATTTTACAAATATGAAATGACACAAAATTTGCAAGCAAATTGGCCAAAGTCTAACAATTAGTAAGCCAGAATTAGTACTTAGGAAGTCTAGCTCCAGTCTTTGTTCTTAAACAGTCACTATATGGAAGCTGAAATCAGCCAGTAAACCCTATACAGAATCACTATGACTCAGCGCTAACTAAACAGCACTTAAGAACAACATATGGTCATACAAGGTGGCTTCAAAAAGTTTGTTGGAAAATTCCATTACTGCTGCTGCTGTTGTTAGGTGCAGTCAAGTGGTTTCTGACTCAAAGTTACCCTATACACAACAGAACAAAACATTGCCCAGTCCAATGCCATCCTCACAATTGTTCCGTTTGAACCCATTGCTACTGCCACTGTGCCTGTCCAGCTCATTGGAGTTTCCTCTTTTTTTCACTGACTCTCCACTTTATAAAGTATAGTGTCCTCCTCCAGGGACTGGCCCTTCCTGATAATATGAGAGACACAGTCTCACAATCTTAGCTTCTAAGGAACATTCTGGTTGTACTTCTTCCAACACAGATGGTTGTTGCTTTTTTTCACTTCTTTCAGTCCAAGATACTTTCAGTATTCTTTTCCAACACCATAACCCAAATGCATCTGTTCTTCTTTCTACAGTATTCCTTATTCATTGTCCAACTTTCCAATGCATATGAAGCTACTGAAAATATCATGGCTTGGCTCAGACACACTTTACTCCTCAGCCTGATGTCTTTGCCCTTGAACACTTTAAAGAGGTCTTGTACAACAGATTTAGCTAATACAATAATAAGTCCTTTGATTTCTTGACTGTTGCTTCCAAGAGGATTGATTGTGGATCCAAGCAAAAGGAAATCTTTGACAACTTCAATCTTTTTCCATTTATCATGATATTATCTACAGGTCTAGTTGTGAGGATTTTTGTTTTCTTTAAATTGAGATACAATTCATACTGAAGACTGTGGAGCTTAATTTTCATCAGTAAGTATTTTAAGTCCTCTTTGCTTTCAGCAAGAAAGTTTGTATCATCTGCATATCGCAGGAATGGATGATTTCTAAGAACTGTAGTCCCATAGTCTCCCCAGGGAAGCCTACTGCACACCTATGACCATCCCAGTGGTCCTCATATGGCCCAACTCCCAGTATCAGCTACTTGACCTCTCCAAGTCACCCTGAGACAGGGAAGCTAGGGAGGTCTCTTAGAGGATAAGAGCATTAATCCCAAGCCCTTGCCCATTGTACAGTCTGCTTACTGTAAACAGATCACCCATAAGATCTCTGTAGTTTACTTCTTTATACTAGTTAACTGTTTTCCCACCTGGATGGATAACCTCTCCTTGAGAGCAGAGGAGAATGTCAGACCCTGCAGGGACTGGAACCATAATACTAAAGAATCAAGCATGCCCAACATCCCATAATGTTTTGTCTGCTCCTAACAGAGGCCTTGAAGGAGCGCTGGTAGCATAGTGATTACAAATTGGGCTGTGAACCTTAAGGTCGGCAGTTCGAAACTACCAGCTGTTCTGCGGGAGAAGGATGAGACGTTCTGCTCCTATAAAGATTTATAACCTCAGAAACCCTGTACACGGTCACTATGAATCGGAACTGACTCCACAGCACATAACCAACAGAGGCCTCGAGGTAGAGTCCATCTTGAAGAAATGTTAAGCATGCACTCCCTCAATTAGCCTGATCCCTCCGAAACAGGCCATTGATTTGAAATCCTCACCCATCCCTATGAATAAATATGATGACTTTTCCCCCACCCAAAACTTTTTTTAAACCCAGCAAAGTCTTTGTTTGGGGAGATAGGGGCTAAGCATTGTGTTAAGCCCTCTCCATCTCCACTCGCAAACCTCTTTCCTAGAATAAAATTTTGTTCCTATGGAAACCCTGTCTCACCTGACTATTTGGAATCAGTAGAAAGCAAGGGACACCTCTTCTGTAGAGCTGAGATGCAGTTTGCTCACCAGGTAACATAAGTAAATATATATATAAATATATAC